GTCTGTCTCTAGAGTCTCCGCTCTAATGACTGGTGCCTACCGCTTCTATTTTATTTTAATACATTATCTTTATTGTTGTTGCATTTTTTTTTTGAATAGGTGTTACCTGGTTCAAAATTCAAAAGCTACAGAAGGGTCCACATTGGAGACTCTCCCTCCCACGCCGGTTTCGGTTTCGCGTCGCCCAGGCCCCTGCTCTGGAGATAATCCACATGACCATTCTTTTTCAGTTGCTCTATGAGTTTATTTTTATTTCTCTTGTTGGGCTAGTCAACTAAATTGTTTTAAACCAGTGGCTTTCTAAAAAAATTAGGAGAATTCAAAAGCATTAAAATTCTTCTGTGTTACAAGCACAGATTAAACCAGGGGTCCTCAAACTTTTTAAACAGGGGGCCAGTTCACTGTCCCTCAGACCATTGGAGGGCCGGACTATAGTTTTAAGAAAAACTATGAACAAATTCCTATGCACACTGCACATATCTTATTTTGAAGTAAAAAAACAAATGGGCAAAAACACCTGCGTGTGGCCCATGGGCCGTAGTTTGAGGACGCCTGGACTAAACCCTCTTGTGGGAAAATCTCATTCACATGGTAGTCTTCTCTTGAAAATTCCATTTGTTGGATTGAACCCCTAAAATGATTCCACATCCCACAAAAATATTCCACATGATCAGTCACTTAAAGACATTTTCTCCTACATCAAGAATAAGTTGGTACATGAAAGAAAACCGCGTGAGTCTTAGTTGATTTGATCTGTTTTCTATATATGTGTGTGACATCCAAGATTCGCAAAGCATTAGGAGAAGAGCAACGCATGCCTGTCCAGTGTTGACAGCGTGCCCAGCAAACGCTTACATGTTATTTCCCTCCTTTTCTCCCAGTATATAAATGTAGTATACGGGATACAATTTGGCACGCTGCCTTTTTCACCAAACAACGTGTATTGAAGGTTGTCCCATATCAGTACATGAGGAGCTTCCTTATTTCTTTTTTCTCCTTTCTTTCTTTTTTTTAAAGACAGATGGTCGGAACTAGGGATGGGCAAACTTTTCCTGTAAAGGGCCAGATAGTAAATATTTTAGGCTTTCAGGTCCATATGGTCTCTGTCACATATGCTGGTATTGCTTCCTTTTTTTTTTTTTTTTATAAAAAAAACCTTTTAAAGTGTAAAAATCACTCTCATCTCATGGGTTGTACAGAAACAGGCTGCGGGCCAGATTTGGCCCATGGACCAAGCACGCTAATGCCTGAACTAACAGAGATGCTGTATCCAGTCTTTTTCTATTCTGAGCCCTCTTGACCATTCTAAAAGAGCTATCTTCCTATGAAACAAGTCTGATGCCGCCACTGCTCCCTTTAACTCTTTCATGGTTCCCCCCTTTTGAGACAGTGAAGTCCAGACTGGTTGGCAGTGCACACAGTGTCCTTCATGCTCCATGTACTTCCATGTACTTCCCTGTACTTCCCATACTTCCATGTACTTCCCTTCACCTTGTGTCTACTCCACTGGTCCATGCACCATCATTTCTTTCCCTCACTCCTGCCATGACCTCTTTGCCCCACTATAAACCCTTCTCCTCCCAAATTTAATCTCTTCACTGTAGCCCCAGGGATCTTTGACAAGTACAAAGCACTTCTAGGAACCTCCAATGGCTTGTTGCTGCCCTAGAAGGAAGTCCACTTCCCTATCATGGTCTACAAGGCTTGATGACTCTGCTTGGCCCTCCCCTGCAAATTCATTGCTCCCACTCTCCCTCCTCCCATTTCCCCCTTCCTGCTCTCTCCCATTCCAGTCACACTGGTTTTTCTGTTGCTAAAACAAGCCAAGGCATTTCTGCCTTTGTGGGTGCTGTTTCCTTGGCTGGCTCCTTCTTGAAGTTCAGTCTTGGTTCAAACGCCACTTCCTAGATGAGGCCTTCCCTCGTCTCCCAAGGAGAGTGGGGCCTCTCCACTCTCCTTCCATCCCATCACGGCCTTCGTGGCCATCTATAATCATGTTGGTTTCTACTTACAGTCTCTGCTGTGCTAGAACACACGGGTCTCTCTTGTGCCTAGTACATTTTCTGACACATATTAGATGAACAATTGAATCTTTTTGATTAGATAAACAAATAAAGAATTTCAAGACAATTTACCTTTTCTGGTAGATCTTTTTTACTCCTCACCTTATATTTTAGTCTCCAGTCCTATTGTCTTTCTCACCAATCACTAAACATGAATTTCCCTCTTAAGGTTTTATACTTTTGCACATGTTGTCATTTGGTTATTTTTTTTTTCTCTGAGGGACAAACTCCTACTCACCCATCAACACCCAGCTCAAATGTTAGCTCTTCTATGGAGTTTTTACATCTTCCCTAGATAGGATCAATTTCTTCCCCTGGCTGGCTCCCAGAGCACTTTGTATTGACCTCATGATCACAGTAGGCCATCATTATTTAACTACCACAAATGTTTATTGATTGATTGATTTATACCCTGAAAACTCCCCCAATATACATATATGTATATAACCTTTCATTTTACCTACAATGAGCTCTTTCAGGGAAGGAACACCTTGAATGGCACTTACATGGCAAGTATGAACACGCAATATACATTAACACATAATATATAAAACCTAGCATCTAGCACTGTGCTAAGTGCTTTATGTATATTATCTCATTTAATCCTCCTAATAACCCCAAGGTGGCAGCTATTATTGTTGCCTGTACTTTACAGATAAGGAAACTACAGCTCAGTGAGGTTGGGCATCTTGTCCCTGGTGGATCTGGAATTCGCCAGCAGGCTGTCCTGCAGCCAGCTGTGGTGGGGTGGCTCTTCGAAGGCCTGTTTGCTCTTGAGCTCTGAGTGTAACAGGGTGGTGCACAAATCTGTCCTTTTTCTCTTTATTGGGACCTGGGGGCACAGCTCTGCTCAGAGAGGGGTCAGCTGGGACTCTCACGGTCCCCTGCAGCAAGGTCCTCCCTCGTGGGGGCACGATGCCATCTGGCAGCCAGATGGAGAGGCATGGTGAGGAGGACGCCCTCTGCACACCTGTGACTGTGCCGTCCCCAAGGGCAGCCAGATGTCCCTGGGGCCTGCCTCCTGCTGCCACATGCTGCTTATCCATGTGGCCATAAGCCGCTCTGCCAGCTCACTCTTGAGCTGATGCGAAGGGACCGCAGGGCTCTGGGCAGGAGGGTGAGGAGCCTAGAAGGCACAGGAGACGAGGGCAGGAGTGGCAGGCTCCTTATCCTTGCCTTTAAATGAAGAAACTTTCTTAGAAAAAGGAATAAGGGCAACAGGCAATAATTGGCATTTTTTCTCCCCTAAGACGTACAGCAGCCCTTTTATTGAAGAGCATTTCTTGGTATACAGGAGAGAGTGCTGGTTCTTGGCTGCAGTCTGGTTTTTAGTTGTGAGCACTGCGAAACTTTTCAGCTCACTGGGATTGTTCACACTTTAGGCTAGTGCTATGAAAGTGTGCTCCTTAGACCAGCAGCATTAATAATATCACTGGGGTATTCATCAGAATGTCAGACTCTGGGCCCCACTGCAGACCTGGCAAATCAGAATCTGAATTTTAACATGACCCCTCACCCCACCCCTCCTCCCAGGCCCCCCCCCCCGAGAATTTGTAAGCTCATTAAAGTGTGACAAGCACTGACCTCATTAAAATGCAAGTTTTAAAATACCTGATTAAAATGCAAGCTTGGGGCTCCATGCCTTAGAAATTCTGATTCACTCGATCAGGATGAGACCCAGAAATCTCACAAGCGCCAGCAGAGGTTCTGCCTACTTTTTGAGCAACTGTGGTCTAGAGGCAGTAGTGGAAATAGCACAGGCACTGAATTAAGAGAGTCCTGAGATCCAGTCTCAGGTTTACTCCTTACAAGCTAGGAAATCCCCATGAACTACTTCGTCTTACTGAGCTCCAGCTTCCTCATATGTGAAATGGAGACACTAATGCCTGCACCTCCAGTTGCGAGGTTTAAAGGTGATAACATACGTAAAGTGCCCGCTACCAAATCCGTGGCACATAGTAGGTGCTCTGATTACTAGGTAGAACAGCTCTACTGGTTGTGCCATTGAACAGTGGGCTGGGCCAGAGAGTGTTCATTTCACCCACAGGGACAGGGAAGGCCAAAGAGTCTCCCTGAGGTGGCTGCGGTTACTTTATTATTTAACCTTGACCTTAAAGACACAGAGAAAGGATCAGACTGCAGCAGCTGTCAAACTTTAAAAATCACCAGGGAAGCTAATTAAAAATGCTACTTCCTGGGTGCTGCTTCCCTGAGGTCAACCTCTCCTGAGAAACGGTGGCTTAGAGGATATGTGTGGCCATTCCATACATGTAGAGCTTGATGCATGTGAGCTGGCACTAGGAAACACCGTGTTTCCCCGAAAATAAGACCTACCCATAAAATAAGCCCTAGCAGGATTTCTAAGCATTTGCACAATATAAGCCCTTCCCTGAACATAAGACCTAGTGATGGGCGTGGCTACGCGGCGTATCTGCACAACCCATGCATTTCCTCCAGAGCGGTAAAGCGTACGAGCAGCCCTTCTCATCTGCCCTTTGAGAGCTCTATTGCTCGACGTGAGAGATTGGGGCCAGTGGTTCTAAAGGAAATAGAGTCGCAAGAAATTCAGGATGGAATTCGGGGTTTGGAGAGTTATGATGATGTTCCAGAAGAAGATGACTTACTATATTTGAATCAATGTAGATTGTTGTACCGTACTTAAAAAAAATAACACATCCCCTGAAAATAAGCCCTAGGGTGTCTTCTTGAGGAAAAATAAATATAAGACCCTGTCTTATTTTCGGGGAAACACGGTACACACAAGCATGAATGAGCCCTGGTGTCAAGCCAGCTGGGAGCTGGGGCTTCCCAGGAGAATATGGGGTCTGTGCTCCTACGCTAGGACGTCGATGAGTGCTATGCTAGGATGTCAATGAGTACTACGCTAGGACGTCGACGAGAACAGCAGCCCAGAAGAGCAAGGGCAAAAAGGCATACCTGGACTTCTGCAGCCTCAATGCTGTGCGAGAGGTTTCCATTTTGCACGGGTTCGGAAGCATCGCTGGGTGGTGTCATTTCCACTTCTGTGCTGGTGCTGTTTGGGAGTTCGATTTTTTCTGTGACATAATTTTAACACACACACAAAGAAAGCAAAAGGAATCAATGAAGGTGAAGAGTCAGATGGAAAAGAACAGCCTACAATGTTGGGCCAACGGAGAGGACAGTGATGTCTGAGGGGTGATAAGGTCCCCAGCCTCCCACTCTGGCATGGTGTCTTAACTGGAGTGCCCCGTCAGCTCCCGCACTGTGCCTTGCTCTAGTCTAGGCAACTTTGGCAACTAGCCACTTAAGAACATGAACTGGGACATTTACAAATCCGAAACCACATCCAGTCTACACACTACTGTCTGTCCCTGGGACCACACCCCTCAGCTACCTTCTTACAGTAGGGTCTGTTCTTTCCTACTGCACTCTGCACAGGATACTGGCTAGGGCTTCAGGGTCCTAGACTTGACCCTGCCACTGTCCGGCAGTCCTCTTACACAAGTCTCCTCCTTCCTCTGAGTTTTGCGAACCTTATCTATGCAATGAGGGGGTTCAGCCTGTTGACCTCCAAGGCCCATTGCTATTAGCTCTAATCTTCTCAGGCTCTGTGAATGGCAACTCTTCCAGTGCCTAAGTGGCCACGGGGAGGGCAGGCTTGGGAACCTGGCTTTTCTCAAAATGCCTGGAGAATGCTACTTAGCATATTCTATACCTGGGCATCCTATTGCAGGCAAGGCAAAGGGAAGTGGACAAGTCATAGAGGTCAAAGTCTGTGCCGTTCCTGAATAAGAGAGAACATTTGGCTAGAGTGAAGCCAGAGGTCAACAAGTGCAGATTCAAGTTTTCCTCTGAGAGTTGAGAAGTGACTCTGGGGTAGTGACTAAGCACTGAGACTGTACCACGGGAAATCAGACAGGCCAGGGTTCACACTGTGGCTCTACGACTTGTGCTGTGTGACCCTTGGCAAGTGATTCAACCTCTCTGAGATTCAGTTTCCTCGTCTGTAAAATTGAGGGTGATAATAACAATACTCCTATTTTGCTACTGCTATACTAACAACAAGAACAATATGCTCAAAGGGTACTTTGGTAAAGATTAAATGAGAAAATGCATATAACCCTTAGCACAGTGCCTGGTATGGAGCAAGGAAGCAAAAAAAACATAAACTATTTAGATTCTTATCATGGTGCCTGCCTTCTATTAGAAGATTTTTGTTTCAAGACTGAGAGGAGCACCTGGAGGTGGTCATTGCTCAGGCACCCTGAGGTCTGCCAGGACCTCAGGGGGAGGGAAATAAAAAGGGTCCTATTGAAAACACACACTCTGGCTGTGCTTGGTCAATTCTTGTACGTCTTGGGGAAGGCAGCTGTGTGGTACATGGCCAGGGCTGCTGGGAATATCAGATTGTTCATCAGCGTCAGAGACGAGCAGTATCAGGCTGCTCATAAAGTAGGAGAATATGTTTGTGTTTTTTTTTTCCTCTAGCAACTCCAGAAGCACAGACATTTCTATCCCTGGTGCTTAGGAAAATAATTTGAGAGTTATATAAAATTGTTGGGTTTGAAGCAGCCAAATTTTGGAAATCATAGGAAAATGTTTATGTTTATTTATATATATATTTAGTTGTGGAATACAGGGGCATAAATAGATTTAAATATGAAAAGCTATAGAAACTCAAATTTATTTTATCTCTCCAAGTTTTTTTGTAGTGACAGTGATATGTATGTGATATTCTGCTGCATGTGGCTATGCCAGTTTATCCTGGTATGCTTGATGTAGTTATTTAAACTAAAAAATTCTAAGTACCTTGGGGAATATTAAAATTGTTTTTGGAGGAGTCTATTGGCTAAAATGATACAATCTTAGGATCAGCCTGCAATGGCTAAACTTGACCCTAGCAACAGAGGATACTGGGTACCAAAAAGGAGTTGAGATGTTCCAAGGACAGACATGAACAGATGAGCAGTAACTACCTACCAGGCATAGTGCCTAACCCAAGTATGCCCATCTTAGCTTATGGAGGGCTTTTACACAGCAGGTGGAGTTCTCATCACCAAAGAAATATGAAAATATATCTTGAACTTACTTTAAACGGCATAGCTTTTAGACAGACATTATTTTCTAGTTACAAAGTCTTTCAGAGACCCAACATTGGAAGGGTCCTTGGAGTTATGTGTGCTTCCTCTTCATAAAAGATTAAATCCAAGTCTAAGGTCAGCCAGTCATTAGGAAGAAGACTGAGGCTGAACCCAGGAATCTAAGTCTTTTACTCCAAGCTACCTTATTGTACATAACAGAAATCAACAAGCGCAACAGAAAAAACAGCTTGTGTCATTGAACCTAAACATCACAAGCAGAACTTAACCTGTGCCATGGAATTTCATGGTGTAGCTTTACATTTTTGTAATACTAGAGCAGAATATGCTCATTCTAAAAACTCTGTCCAAGTTCACAAAAGTATAAAGGAGCAGACAAAAAATATTAATCCCAATTATGAATTATATATTTCAATAGTTCAAGAAGTAACTATTGTTAACATCTTAGCTGACTTCCAGCTTTTCTTTTCATACCCAATTGAATCTTGATTGTTTCTTGGCCAAGAATTTTCCCTGAGCCAGAAGTCAAGATAACAGGAGAGGCAGAAATTCTTCTATGGAGTGTCATGTATTTTGAGTGCAAAACTGTTGAATTTATGTCTGCAGATAATTTTAGTTACTTGGGTAATAGCTTCGTTTATAGCATAGATCCAGATCAGGTTAAATTTAGTTTGAATTTAGAATTAGAGAACTATATTGTAGCTACAGACAGGAGAGAAGGAACATCATGTTCCAAGTTAAAATAAGATGCCTGAATGTCACAATCTGGTCACGCAGGAGCTCTGAAAAAGTCAGCCAAAAGAGACCTGGGCTGATATTGCTGAATTCTTAGAAAAGGAAAGGCAGCATTATCTCCACGGGACTCTGTAAGCAATGTCATGGGCATAAAATCTGGTTACCAGGCAAGAATTACAGGAGGGGACTCTCACTTTTGGTTAAACATTAAATGGCGTGTGTGTGGCGTGTGTGTATCCTCTTTATGTGGAATTTCTGAAACAAAGTGATTTTCTGCTCTTGAATGGAGATGCCTATTTAGGTGCTGGGCTACTTCAGGCTCCTCAGAGAAGTATTTTACTCTTCTTGGACTTCCCCTAGAGTTACTGGTAACATACTGTGTCCATTCATGCCCTGTGTCCACTCTAGAAACAGGGACTCATTTTGCGTCACCAAGGGAATGGCTGAGCTGCAGGAGTCTGTGTCTGCACCGAGTCAGGGGTACCCATGCTGGGTCCTGCTTTTCTGCTCCTCTCTGCTCTCCCCCGCCCCCTGAAAGGCATGGGACGGAAGTGCCCCTGCACTCACCCACGTGATTGGCAGCCCCATTCTGCCTCTCGTTCTCATCCACCTGGCATTTCTTCTTGGCGATCTTGTGGAGAATTGAAGCCTTTTCTCTGAACCTCCCTGAAGCAAGAGAAAGTGGCAGGAAAGAGACAGAGTGAGGAGGAAGACAAAGAGAGAGCCTCGTGGCGCAAAGGGTGAAGTGTTGGCAAAACAGGCAGGTGGCTTCCTCATGATGCTGCCCTATTGCAGTGACCACTCCATTCTGTCCAACACAAATGCCCTGTGACCTGCAATGACGGGGACTTTCTTCCCTTTGGGGATTCTTCAGCCCAATTCTCTATCTGAGGACCTCAAGCTGTTGGACCATAGATTAAAGGTTTCACTTGGACCTTTTCCCTCCTCTCCCCTCTCAGTGGCTCACAAAATAAATGAAAGCACCAAGCACCACTAAACTCCCCCTACTGCAGAGATACAGAACAGGTCTAAAGAGCTGCTCTGCAGGCACAGCCATTTCTCTGAAACTAAATGCTCATCCAAGTTTGGATTTTGATAATGGGCTGGGAAGGAAAGCCAAGCCCAGGGGGCCTTTAATTTGACTTCGGTTTTCAAACATTTACAGGTTGTGGGTATCCCTAATCTGAAGATCCAAAATCTCAAACAACTTCTGTTCGCAAGCATTTTGGATAAGGGCTACTCAACCTGTATCATAATTAACATTGCAGTTTCTAAACGAGTCAGGAACATGCATCACAGCTTTTCAGATCAGCTGAGTCAGCCGCAATTAAAGCGTCAAGGAGGCAACTGATTCCATTTGGGGATTTGGGGCACAGAAGGATCAACTGAGCACAGCAAGGAACGTCGGTGATGAGACGCTTTGGGAAAGGTGCTGGGAAAAATACCATTCTCAACGCAATCGTTTTAAACAGCTGTACCGCAAGTGTAAGGCTTCGTTTCTTCTTCATTATTGACATAATTAATGGGCAAATGCATGCAACAAGCACAGAAAAAAAAAAGCAGGCAACAGTATAGAGAGTAGGGAAACACCGCACATTTCTCTTTCATTTTTTAATCCTTGATTTTCTTCCTCGGGAGCATTCAAAGTACAAAAGGTTCTGATTTTAAACTGACTGATTATTGCCTAGATTCGGATATGATGAGTCCCTCAAAACACCACAACCCCTACCATTTCCCCACTAGTGATTTTGTGCCGGCTGCTTTGTATCGCAGTATATTAACACGGGATCTCATTCTGGGCTAGTTAGAACCGAACCAAACCCAAACGTTGCTCCTGGAGAGTCTCTCCTCCTGGGGTGGGACGTGACAGGGTGGCACCCACTGCCCCTGCCCCACCATGGAGAGGAATCTTGGCATGTGGTCACAGTGGTGACTTGTGTGACTGGTTGGGAGGGACGGAACCTGAAAACTAGAGTGGGGCTGGTTGACTCCAACAGGGAAGGTGACATAGGATAGAGCCCTTTCTGCTCACACCTCCATTCGTCATAGGGCTAGAAACTTTGCGACCACGAAGGCAACCCCGAGGACACTACTACCTTAGACTAGGCAATGAGTATGTACCACATGGCACAGTCTCAAAGGAAGCAGGAAGGGAAACTTCACGTAGAGCAAATGAGGTCAGTATGTGGCTTGGGCTTCCTAAGGAATGAGGAAGGAGGAGGAGTGATGGGCACGATTCCATTCTTGGGCAATGGTGGTCAGCGTTAGGGTCACCATCCTGGAAGGCACTTTCAATTTGCTTATTTCTACTTCATCTTCAAGGGAAACTCTGGGAAGAAAAAAGGGAAGGAAGAAAGCCTGGGGACTAGGAAAAGGAGGTGGTAAATGAGGGCAAGAAAGTAAAGAAAAAGAAGAGAGAAGAAGAAGGGACACAAGGAAGGAGGAGGCAGGCAGGGGGCTGGGATTGCTGGAGGTTGCACAGGATGTGCGGAGGCAACACACGTTCCTGGCTGTCAGGTCTGGGCTTCCTCGAGGACTAGATAAACAGAAATAAGAGTGATCTTCAGCGCTCTGAGCCTTAAATCTAAAGAGGAGTTGCTTCTTGTGGAAGACAACTCCAGAAAGTCCTCAAATCATTCACAGGAGGAAAAGAGAGGTTCTGAAACTTTACTGGGATGATGCGTCTACTCATCAAACCCTTCTACTGTGGTCTCAGGGTCATTCTTTGAACTTAGAACATCCTGCAGCTCTACGAAATAAAGACGATCAATATTTGCTATTTGAAAATTATATATAAATACAATAATAAAACAGGAAAGCATTCAGAAGAGGAAACAAATAAGCCTGTAGAAATAAAACCTGGAATAATAATCTAATTCAATGAATGTCCTAAAGTCATGAATATTTGATAGAGAAAATATTTGATAGAAACCGGCTCAATCACATATTGTCTGTGGTTATGAGAATCTTCTCAGAGCTTAGATGTGTGCCAGAGAGAAATGGTAATAAGAGGGACCCCAAAGCGTGTAGGAGGACAGCCATTCCCTCTGCTAGGAAGCATCTTTGGGAAAAGTGTTGGCCACTGTCACTCATGGGCTGGTTTTTCCAAAATCTCCAAGGGAGGAGAACAAGGTAGGAAATGAGTCTGGAACTGGGATTTTTGTAGGTTCTCAAACATTTTACAGGCTCATGTGGGTTTTCTAGATTGCATGTTACTAGTTTTCCTACTTCAGCGGCACCTCAGATTTTCCACGCTGTTGAAAAGCAGGAGGGATTGGCATTGTTTGTTTTCTCTGGGAGTCTAGCCTTAGGGGCACAGGGCACAGTAGCTGAGGCTGGTTGGGGAGCTATCTTCTCTATGGACTTCTTCCCCTTCTTTCTCCAACCTCTTCCCCGGCCATTCTTTGTTCCACGTGAGCTGGCAAGCATTCTGCATTCTCAATGCTGACAATGGCTGTTGCATAGCCTAGAAGGATTTTCCCTTAATGATTAATTTCTAGAAAGGCAACAGTTGAGGTCCCATCATCAGAATTCAGCACAAACTTGGGCTCTTTCGGGAGGGTGGGGCAAAGCCTGACAAAGCAAGGCATGGTCATTCCAGCCCATCCGATACACCTGGGGGTCACCAGAGGGCACCTTTTGAGAAATGCTCTGGGGATGAGGCCTACAGGACAAGAGTGAGCATGAGGGAGCTGGGTCAGAAGCCAGCACAGAACCTGTGACTTTCAAAGTGACCCTCTGTGCCTGGGAGTAGGAAGACACCTTCAGGACCTGCTTATCCACCCCCAGGCCACAGCTAGAAAGAAAACCAAGCAGGGGGTGTGTGTTGGGGATAACACAGTATTGTGGTTAAGTGGATGGAGAGGCAGGTAGATCAGAGTTCAAGCCCTAGCGCTTTCAGTGGCTCTGCTAGGTGATTTTTGGTCTGTCCCCAAATATTTCTGAGTTTCAATTTCCCCTCCTGTTAAATAGGGAGTGCAGTGGTACTGGCCCATGAGTTAAATGTAAGTCTTGCACGGGAAAATGTGTGTAAAGGGCTTATCACAGTATACAACACTGGACGAACTTGTAAATAAGAGGAAAAGGAGAAACAAACACAATCTCAGGGGCAAGGGTGACATGGCCCTGAGTTGCTCTAGGAGGATGGCTGCCATTTTCTCTTTTCTCAACTCACACTGGCAGGATTGGAAAACCAGCCACATCTGGAGCCAGGAGTTTAAGCATCCAGGACCTTGTTGGATTGGTGCTCAGGATTCAGAGCATCCTCCAAAGCCAATTAGAAAAAGGATCAATTTACATCTTTCTGCGGTTGAGAAGATCAAGGTGATGGAGTTTCTGTGTCTTAAACATTAATACCTTTGCAATCTTTTAAAATGGGAAGATGATGGTTCGCTTTCCCCCATCACCTGTAAGGACAGAATGCAGGCCGAGGAACTACTGCAGCTGCACAATTGATTTGGGTTGCCTCGAAACATCATGGTGCACTAAGTTCTTGCGTCTCAGGCTCAAAATTTGTAAGGTGAGGATCAGAAGAACACCCAGCTCATACTGTCTTTAGAAGGTCCGATGGGTTAATACACACCACGTGTTTAGATGGTCTCTGACATATAGCAAGTGTTTAGGAATTGTTATTCAGAAAGGGTTACTATTATTATGGAAGCGAATGACAGAAAATTCTTCCCATAAATTACTGAAAATAAGATTGATACTTAAATGGAACTGATGCTTAGCAGCCTCAGGTGCAGACCTTGGTGCTAAAGGGATTGCTCAGCTATTTTAGGGACAGAGTCTATATTGTCGTAAAGGGTGGTATAGAGAGACAGATCTAAGAAACAATTGTGTAACTTTGTGCCTGGTGACAAAGAATCATGATGTTTTTGAGTACTTTTCAAGGTGAGCGAAGGAGTCATTTTTAACATGTTTTAAGGCAACCTTAAAAAATATACTCTTTTGTGGTTTAAACCCTGGAAGTGTTGTATTTTTATATAGCTATAGATATGTGTATGGTTAAAAAAATCTCAGAAATAGCAAACTCTTCTCAAATCGTGAGGCACCTACGTCAAAACCTAGTACACAATTTCAATATAGTTTAGCTTGGTCGGAAATGTGCAAAAGAGTGCCAGCTGAGTGTCCTCAGAGGAGTGCGTGTTGAGGGGGTGGCAGGGAAGTGTGGAAGGAACAGGGCCAAGCATAAGGGCCTCTGTGAATTTTGAAAAACAACCAGCCATCAAAATCCTTGACCAAATCATTGGGACGGAAAACAGAAGCTCCACGCTGCATCGAAAAATAACCTTTGGAGGGTCTGTTCACTCAAAGGACATGGATTTTGCATCTGTTCTGCTGTTAATTAAAACAGCCCCTTGGAAATTCTTTCACATCTTTCCCACCATGCCTGAAATAGGCAGGGTGACAAATGGAGCCCTTTGGGTTGGAGATCAGATTAGCTCCTGACTGCTACAGAACATTCTGAGCATCTGAAACACAGAAAAGCTGGAACAAAAGAGATATATAGATGCAAAGAGAGAGGCCACACATACCCGGGTGAAGAGATCATGGTTTGGGGGAAGAAAAGAAAAAAGATAAAACGGAAGGGAAAACTAGAATATAGTTTTTTTTTAAATCTATTTTTGCCCTTTAAAATCTAATTCTGCCTTTCCTGTGTCTTC